GGTTTGAAAAATACAGCACTAGAGCATGACTGCTTTGATAGCCTGAAAACTGGCACTCCAAATTCCTTAGTATCACCAGCTGTATGTAGGAACACAGTATTTCATCCTTCTTTATCAACCATCTGCAAGAGAGATGACAAGGAACTCTTCACCTGGATGGGGGGAGCTGTGCTGTAGTTGCAAAAGGTCCAGCCTGTGAGCCCTGTATAGCTCCTAATAATGGACTGTCTGAAGGAGGTAGGAAGAAAAGAAAGATTAAGTTCCTTTTGCTTCTTAACATAATGCAAACCCCCAATAGTTAAAAGAATAGGTTAAATGTTAGTGGGCAAGCTTAATTTGCCTCTAGCTTAATTTGTCTCCTCCCTGAAAATCTACATTTTGATATAGCTTTTATGTCCAAAACAGCCAAACAACTGCCCTGTGCTTTTATATTTTCTCTCCTTGTTTGTTTTTTTTTTTTAAAATTCATTTTTAAAGAGTTGTGCCTCATTCTGTGGAATAAACAGATTCACTCACCACTGTGTATGCAGTGAAGGGAAAAATACTGCGTGTGCTGAATGAATACTTTCCCACAGTTTGTTTGTTTTTAAATGAAATATATCTACTGCTTCTTCAAACCAGCAGAGGGAGTTTTCTCATCCGAATAATTGTTACACTTCTGAAACACAAACCTGTCTATTTTTTCAGTGATGTTATGTTACCTGATGGGAACTGCTGCTGAAAACAAAAAGGTGAAATTTTACAATCTAGATTGTTTAACTCCTTAGTGCTCGAGGCTGTTTGCTTCCAACCAATTTTTAAGGGTATTAAGAAGATGCTGCAATGAAAAATGCAATGGAGAATTAAAAGCATGGAAAATCTACTCAGTTGGAATGTTTGGAGCAAACTCTTTGGTTAAAGGGGAATGTGCAACTATTGCAGTGCATGTGCCACTCAAATGTGTGTGAAACTGCAACATGTTAACAGCTGACACACGATTTTTTGGAAAAAAAAAAGTCAGTTCCTTTATTTTTTTGTGCTCAAGAGAGAAGTTTTGAAAGTTCTGGGTTTAAGTTTCTTTACTTGGAAATACTGGAGTACTTTTAAGATAACCAGAGGGGCAAAAAAGTTCAAGTGAAATGTTCACTGTAGCAGTACTAGGGAAAGAGTCTCTTATCATTCCTAGGTTTTTTGTGAGGGAAAAAAAAATCAGCTCCGGTGGTGACAAATTGTATCATTCTTATTTTGTGTTATAAACCTGCATACCAGGCTATATACAACAATCTCTCTTGTAAAACAAAATGATAGCAGTTACTGACGTCAAGAGTGAATACTATCTTGATCTGCAAACATGTCACAACTCTTCCTCTCCCAAAAGCGAGCAAGAAATTCAGATATTCTATTTAGCTCAGTCGTAAAGCACTTAAATAGCTAAGCTTTCATTTTTAAAAGGTCGGTTGAACAAATTAGTGAGAAAATAATGTTATTTTGCGAAATCTAATTGGATTTGAAAACACTCTGAGACAAATACACACTTTTATGGTTCCATAGCATCAGAATATCAATGCTCTACATTCTGCTTGAACTGAAAGAAGAGATTAAATAAAAAGCAAGATACAGTGTTTCCTGTGTATCTACCAGTATAAGAGCAAAACTATAATTTCAAAGGATTGCATAAATACCAATCATGGCCTAATATCTAAGGGAAAATGGCTCGTTAAATGTTTTTGGCTTTTGCTGATGTCGAAAGTGAGGAAGGAACTAACTCACTGTAGGTAATTTAGAAGGCAGTTATTGGTAAATAAGCATTTAGCACGTGACACCAGACATAGACCTTATAGAAAAGAAATGAAATAGTCAAGTGGTTTAACAGTTGAGCCAAAAGAGTTAATAGCCTGGCACAGATGTATTTTCCTTACATGTGTTATAACTGTCAACTCATATGAGGGTGCTAAATATGGGTCCCCGTGCTGCTCTGAGTCACACATGAGCAGATTCTCAGTGCAGTGGAGCCGTGTCAGACTCAATGAAGCACGAGGCAGACACAACTGTCAGTGCCACACACCTCATGGACCACAGCCCCAGCTTCAGACAGAAAACTGTGCAGGGCTGTAGGCGATGGATTCAGCAGCATCAGCCAGTCATCCATGGAGGAAGAGACTCTTGGACTCGGCAGCCACAGGGGCTCCCTCAGGAGATGCCCCATTTCTGCCTTGCTGGTACTGGAAGGGGATGCACAGGACCAGTTGGATGCTGGTGCAAGATGGAAGTGGAATAAAATTCAGGTTTTGTACTCAGACTGCTAACCAGCTTTGAGCCAGCCCTGGCCACAGTTATCAAGGCATGTGGAAATAAAACAGAATTTCAAAACAGTGTCTTGCTAGTCCACAGCACAAGAACCAAGAACCAGGGCTTTGCTCTCCAGAATGTTCTAGGCTGAGGAGAGGGCCACAGGTATGTCAGCATGAGTGAATGTGAACTGGAATGGGACTTTGCCCCAGTTCAGATCAGCTTCCAGAAAGGAGGTTACATGGAGTTCCTTCAACACTCTGTAAATACGTACACTGTGTACATTTTTTGTCTCACCTCTCATTCCTGCTCACTTAGCTTTGTGGCAGGGTTAAAGAAGTTAAAAATCAGATAAAATTTATAGTTCCTCTTATCCTCTATCCTTTTTTTTTTTTTTGAAGTAGCTCTACAAAGGAAGTGGAAAAAAATGATACAGCTTACAGATGAGTATAATTCATCTTCATGGAACTTATTTTCTGAATTTTATAAATTAATTCAGTACTGTAAACCTGGGGGTGCAGGAAGGTTGTATTTTTATAAAAAATAGATTTTCCTTTTAAGGAGAGAATCTTGTAGCCATTGATCAGCATTAAACACTGCACCTGCTTCAAGGAAATTCTGACTGACTTGTACGTTACCAGTTCTGCTGTCAGAAAAAATGGAAGCAGCCTGCCTCAAAGTATGGTGAAACAGATAAAATATCATAACACACTGTGGTATATGCTTGTTTATACACTTGGACTTCACATTTTGTCTTTATTGCTCATTATCTGACTCATTTTCTGTTTATGTGCCATGAGAAAGATGCTAAGCAAAAGCTGACTCCTGGAAATACTTGACATTCTTTTCAGGCTAATTTTGTCCTGAGTTTGGCTGAAACAGCTCATTTTGAACCACTCATAAAAGGATGTCTGCAGCAGGGAAGATGGAATATTTTCATTTCTGAGAGCCCTGCTGTGTTATATTCCCTGATTTTCATCAAAACCAGACCATGTTTACTTGTCCCTTTGGCCTCAGGGTCAGGGTTTTTTCTTTAAATCACTTCAATTCTAAGTAGTCATTTCACTCATTCCTGAGTTTCCCACAAAAACCTAAGCAGTGAAAACCTGATATAGCTCGGGGCAGTTTCCTAAGTACATCTCTGAAGCGATAAAAATTTCCAACAAAAAAAAAATATCCTTACCCTATAAACTCTTCAGAAGCAATGCATGAGCCCACAAACATGTGCATGAGGTTCCTGAGGTTGGCCAAGGGGACGTGGCCGCTCTCCTCCCCAGGTCTCCCTGCATGTCACCTTCCATGGGCCAGTGGAAGGTGCCCCTGCTGCCCCTGCAGCCACAACAGCCCCCAAATCTTCACTTCCCTGACCAAAAGGGGCTTCCCAGGGTGGTGGTTTTGGGTAAGGCCAGAGGCTGCTGTGGGAGAAGGTGGGGAAGCCCCCCGGGTGCAGGGGGCAACCCAAGGGCCTCGTCAGGGTGGGGTTTGCTGAGGGGCTTTGAGGCAGTTCTGCTCATGAGGAGTTGTGGACAGAGATCCCACCTCAAGTGGGCAGGGGGGCATTACCCCTCAGGTAGGGGCGGCTCCACAAGAGGGACTGAGAAGTGGGGCAGCATTGGGCCATCTCACTCTGACCCAGCCAAGGAAGAGTCATAGAATCACAGAATCAATTATGTTGGGGAAGACCTCTGAGATCATCAGGTCTAACCCATGACCAAACACCACCAGACAGACCATGGCACTGAGTGCCATGTCCAGTCTTTGCTGGACATCCCTCCAGGGATGGTGACTCCACCATCTCTGGGGAGCCCAATCCAATGTCTAATCACCCTTTCTGTGAAGAAATTCCTCCTGATATCCAACCTAAATCTCCCCTGGCACAGTTCAGGAATATGCCCTCTTGTCCTATTGCTGGTTGCCTGTGAGAAGAGACTGGCTGCCACCTGGCTACAACCTCCTTCCAGGTAATTGTAGAGAATGATAAGGTCACCCGAGTCTCCTTTTCTCCAGGCTGAATCCTCCCAACTCTCTCAGCCGCTCCTCGTTGGACTTGTGCTCCAGACCCTGAGGAAAAGGGGGGCTCTCACAGTGAGTGGGTGGGGATGGGGGGCGGCCTCAGCAGTGAGGGGGTTGGTGCTGTGCATGAGCCAAAAGGCCAGTGGAATCCAGGTGTGCATTAGGAACAGCACTGCCAGCAGGTCAAGGGACGGGATCCTGCCCCTCTAATCAGTCCCACTGAAGCACATCTGGAGTGCTGTGTCCAGCTCTGGGCTCCTCAGGACAAGAGAGACATGGACCTCCTGGAGCAGGTCCAGCAAAGGGTGACAAAGATGATGAAGGGACTGGAGCATCTCTCTTAGGAGGAAAGGCTGAGGGAGCTGGCTTGCTCAGCTTCCAGAAGAGACACTGAAAGGGGACTCATCCATGTCTGTCAGGGTCTGCAGGGAGGGAGCAGAGGATGGACCAGGCTCTCCTCGGGGGTGTCCAACAATGGGACAAGAGGCTACGGGCACAAACTGAGGCCCAGGAAGTTCCACCTGAACATGAAGAACTTCTTTCCTGTGCAGTGACCGAGCAGTGAAGCACGTTGCCCAGAGAGGGTGTGGAGTCTCCCTCACTGGAGATACTCCAGAAACACCTGGATGCAATCCTGTGCCAAGTGCTCTCGGATGACCCTGCTTGAGAATGGTTGCACCAGGAGGTGCACCAGATGACCCACAGTGGTGTCTTCTGACCTGAACCATTCTGTGATCCTGTGAGGGGATGAGAAGGGCTCTGGGAGGTGTGAGGGGGATGTGAGGGAGTGTGAGGGAGTGTGAGGGGGGGCTGTGAAGAGAGTGATGAGGGGGCTGTGAGGGGAATGTGAAGGGTGTGATGAGGGGCTGTGAGTGGGCTATGAGGGAAATGTGAGGGGTGTGTTGAGGGGCTGTGAGGGGGTTATGAGGGAAATGTGAGGGGTGTGTTGAGGGGCTGTGAGGGGGTTATGAGGGGGATGTGAGTGGCATGTGATGGGCTGTGAGGACTGAGGAGGGGCTGTGAGGAGGGTGATGACGGGGGTATGAGGGCTGAGAACGCTGCACCGCCGACGGGGGTGGGGGGGCCGATGACGGGGGCGGTGCCACCTCCCCGCGCTGGGGCGGGGCCGAGACGGTGACGTCACCCCCGCCTGGCAACGGCGTGGGGGCGGGGGCGGCGCGCGGCTCTCGCGGGACTTGGCGCCTCCCGCCGCGGGCGGGGCGGGGGCGGGGCCGGCGCTGCCCGAGCGCGGCTGAGGCGGCGGTGGGAGCGACGGGACGGGCGAGCAGCCCTTCTGCCCCGGGCCGCCCGCGGCTCGGAGCCGCCCCTTCCACGCCCGCAGCGCCCGCGGATGGAGCCGCCGTGCCCGGCTTGAGCGCGTCGGAGGGACGCGGAGCCGCTCCGCCGAGCCCGGGCGGGCGGGCGGGCGGGCGCAGCATGGGTGAGTGAGCGCGGCGGGACCGGACCCCTCCTCCCGCCCCCCCGGGGGAGAGCTTGGGGTGAGGGGAGGGCGCGGGGCCCGGGGCAGCCCCCGGTGTGCCCCGGGGCGGGGGCCGCTGGAGGAGCTGCGGGGCCGGCAGGTGCCCGCAGGTGCTCGGTGAGCGATCGCTCCAGGCAGAGGCCGGTCCGGAGGGTCCCGGGGGGCTGCGGGTTCCCTGGGTTTCGGTGGGGAGAGCGAGGACTAACAGCGAACACTGACCCGGTGCTAGTTGCGGAATAAAAGTTTCTGTGGTTACGTCCAGCCCTCCTTTCGCTTTTTTCTTTTTTCCCCTACTCGGCTTCAGTTTGAGCTGCACCTTCACCCGTTTCTTCACCGAGGTGTTGGCTTAAAGAGAGCGAGTGCACAGCGACCAGGAGAGTTCCTGTGCTCGTGATGTGCTGGTTCAGGTTTACACTGGAAGCAGTCGGTTGTGCTGGGTCTGGTTTTTAATGGGAGAGCGTCGGCGTGGAGAGGTATGAATGAGTGACTTAAACACCGCTCCGCAGAACTCTCCTTCCTTAGAGGCAGTGCCCCCACTGATGTTCAAAAAGATCCACTGACCATTTTGTTTGTCTTTGATATCTCCGCTCCTGTCGCACCCCTTGCTCTCCGTCCTGTGTAACATTATCTGCATGTGCTCTGGAGGGGTACGTGTGACAGTGTGTGCTTATGCTGCTGTGTGCAAATGTGCTGGTTTAGAGCGGGATTTAAGCTTTTTAAGTGCAAGGATACCTGGGTTTTGGATAGCTCTTCTTTATCTCCATCTTTATCCCCATAAAATTGAAGAGGGTGTGCAGGTCAAACGTGCAGTTACTGGAGCGATAAAAGCTCCTCTTGACTTGTTTTCTGCTGATTAGGAAGATGGGCTTTTAGTGTTTTCATCTCGGTGAAAGTAGCCTGATGTGGCCAAAGCACACTGAAAGTAAAGTCTGAAGCTATAAAGTGGAATGGGTGTTTTAAGTTCTGATACAAACCAAGCTCTAAAGAACTCGCTTTTTGTGATTGTTCAGAATAGGTAAGACTTGCTGTTTATTTCTTTTTGGGCTGTGTTCTCTTATTTGCAAGTGAGAAGTGTCCGTCCAGGTCATTTCAGTGACTTGTGATGGTAGTTCCTGAAGCATGAAAGTTTAGTGTGCTAATTAAACATTTTGAAGTCAGACTGCCGTGATGAAATGTGAATACCTCAGATTTACATATGGTATGTCTGGGTTATTAAAACCATTAGTATCGTTTATTACTGTAGTTAGAAATACTGTATAAGACTTCAGAAAGGACTGAGTCTAGTTTATGATTATTGCGTGGTATAAAACAATGTATACATTGTTTTTTAATGTATATATATTTTTTTACAATGTAGATGTTGTATTTTTTCCTTAAGTTTCCTTTTCTTAAGGCAGTCCTTTTCTGATGACAGTAATGAGCATGTTATTACTGCTGCAGAGGCGACTGAATTGAGTGGGTGCACACACTGTGTCAAGTATTGTTATTGCGTGGGTTATTCTAACCATAACAATTTGTGTGTCTGTGCAGTTAGAGAACAATTCCTGCCAGAACGCTGGCAAACCTCTATAAAGGATTGTGGAATAATCCTAGAGCCTTTTAAACAGATTTTCTCTGTAGGTGTTGTCCTTTATTCAGATTTCCAAATGTTGCTTTCTTGTGATTGAAAGCAGGGAGGAATATATATCTCTAAAAATAAGAGCGGAAAAGAACTAACTGTAGCTTGCCCTGCACTCACAGTGTTCAGTGGTGGCCTCACGTTTTACCTTGAGAAGTCATTAGTTGATTATTTTATTACTGGCGTCATGGCAGAGCTGGTTCTTGATAAGAGATTGTTTGCCTTTTATGTCAGTTTGATGAAGAGATTTTACGTGTGAGAGGTGGCTTAGAGGGGAGTGCTGAGTATCTTTGGCAGACTCGGGGGTTTCTGAGATCTATGGAGAAGTAAGAACAGGGCAGTGTGTCTCTGGAGGAACCCAAAGGAGAAGGGCAGAAGTACAGAATGCCTTGGAACAGGTTCTTTTGTGTTCTTTTAGTAGCTGGAAATTAGTGTTTCAGGAGCACGTGTCGCTCAGGCGCCCGAAGGATGGGGAGGAGGATGTTGTCAGAGGTGACACACACGAGACCATATGAAGTTACTGGTAATGCCCACTGACACACTTGAGCTCTGTCATTATAATTCTTTGCCTTCTGTACTAGTTTAATCATGTGGATTCAATATATGACTCCACAAACAGCTAGAGAAGCAGATTATTTAAAGGGAAAAAATATATTCAGATGTTCTAGAGAAAAAAGACTATTTGCTTGAGTTGTCTTTTGCTGTCTTGGGTTAATATCCACTTGGAGAGAGGTAGAGTTCCGTGTATTGGTGCATTGTAACATCTGCTTACTTATATGGCTCAGTAACTGGTAACTGGCCTAATTTTAGTTAAGAAATGGTTTGACTATATAACTTCCATGTTAATGGGAAGGTTGAGCTAAATTTAAGAGTCCCTTTGCAGCCAATCATCCTATAGTTTTACAGCTAAGAAAGAAATCTTACAGCAACAATTGATAAATTGCCACAGCGGAACACTGAAATCTACTGAACTCTTGTCAGTACCTTCTTAGCTATATGCATGTCCCATCCTTTTGGATTTCCCAAAATTTGTACAGGCTTTGATTTTTGGTTCCCATGAGTCAGTACATTTGAATTTTTCTGCATTTGATCTTCAGACAATTTTGTAATTTTGGAATACTTTGGGAAGCCAGACATACTTCTTCATTGCCAACATTGAACATTAAACTTGTGTGAAGCCTCTTGCTTTCTTCACCTTCATGTTGGCAACAGAAAACAATCTTAGAAGGTTTTTGTAAGCAGACTGAACTGAATGCTTTTAACATACTGTTGTGGAGACAGTGGCAGATTGTTTCAGTATTCACTAGTAGTATTACAAGAACCTATTAGAAGATTCCTTCAGGGTTTGTTGTTTGATTTAAAAACAAAACAAAGAACTCCACAAAACCCCAGCAATCTCCCCCTCCCCCACCCCCAAAAAAATGGGATACTCCATACAACCCCAAGCAAATGGGATAGTATAGATGAACAGTTCTGCTGGTATTTTACCAAGAAATATGTAAGATGGGATGCCCAGTTGAACTTTAATCACTCTTTATTGACGAGTACAATGAGAGAATAAAAAGTGCAGGTTGTTAAACCTTTCTGTATTCGGGTTCTGGATGAGCCTAGTGCTGGCCAACTGTACTTGCACTGGCCAAGTTAAGCAAAGTGCTTTCTTACTTCATTTCTTTATTCTGGACAGAACTGTAAGGGAGGATGATGTGAAGCTGACCTCTGGAAGAGAGATGCCTAAACTAGTGGGAAACCAAATTACTGTAACTGGGAAGAGTTGATGGATACTGAGCTTGGGTCAAGATAGAGGAGAAATCCCATTGAAAGGTGCAAGAGAATGTCAGCTCAACTCTTGCCTTTTCAGGTTTTTTTTCCAAGAATGGAAGAGCTGCTGCACTGAGAGTCCTGACTGTGGGGTGGGTAGGGAGGAAAAGGATATGGAAAGCAGGTTTGAAATGGAAAGTTGTTCTTGTTTGTTTTTTTTTGGATTGTTGTTGTGTTTTTTTTTTGTTTGGTTGGTTTTTTGTTTGTTTGTTTGATTTTTTTTTTTTTTAAATAAAACCCCACGGTCTGGCAATCAGTAATTTATAGGCTTTCTCAGAGGTGTTCGTGGTTTCGTCAGAGCTTTTTTATAGATAGGGATGGACCATGAGGGACTTGGACTAAGGGGCACAAAGAAGAATGTGGTTTTGCCAGCCACAACTGCCTGTGACAGTGGAAGTCCCTGTTTAACATAAATGGGTGTGTGTGGGGGAAATATATCCTTTCAATGTGAGGGTATGTTTTTGATGTGTTTTTTTTTTTTTCTGTCTGTTTGGGTTATTTGTTTGTTTGTTTTGTTTTTGTTTTTGTTTTTTTTTCAAAAACTGCTGCTTACTCTGCCTGACAGTATTTTTGAGAAATGGTGGATGATTGGTGGCTTCAGTCTGAGAAGTTTCTCTACATCTACACTCCTCCCGTGTCAGCCATTCCAGGTGATGGTCACCTTTACTGGATGGTTATTTTAATTTTTATTTCACTTTCAGCTTATTGAGAGGAGAGTTGTTCAGGACTGTGTATGTGTTATTCAAGACTTAGCTCCATGCAGGGGTATAATTATATTTGCTGTCTTGGTTTCCTCTGTTTTCCTTACAGTTCTTGTTTCAGCTAGGTAGGATCTATACCTTGAATTCTCTTTACCTTCACTGGCTTTCTCT